CTTGGCCTAGTCAACTATTATCGACGCTTTATTCCTAACTACGCGAGCATTGTTCAACCGATGAGCGACTTGCTCCGCGGTAACCAGCGGTGTTTTCATTTTCCAGACGATGTCAGACTGCTGTTCCAAAAGCTCAAAAGCGCTATCTCCAACCTAGCGCTTCTCGCCCACCCAGACCTACTAGCATTACTCTCCTGACTCATCAGACACTCCTTTCGATTCAGTTCTTCAACAACTCATGGACCATCGATGGTTACCTCTAGGTTTCTTCTGGAAACCTTTACAACCTGCGGAATCGCGTTACAGCACCTTCGGTAGGACGCTACTCGCTTTCTACCTAGATATCACACATCTTCACTATCTTGAAGGTCGACATTTTACAGTCTTCATTGACCACGAGCCGTTGATCTACGCAATCAGTGGTGCAACAGACAAGTATTCTCCGCGAGAAATTCGACACCTAGACTACTTTTCTCAGTTTACGACAGATGTACGACATGTCTCAGGTGCTCTCAATCCCGTCGCGGATTCTCTTTCACGCATTCATCAGATCAGCTTGTCGCCTGGCACCAACATCGACCTAGCCGCCATGGCTGCTGCCCAACAAGCTGATCCCGACACAGACAAGCTACGATGCAACCTCTTTGCAACTACGCGAAGTTCCACTAGCTTCATTTGTGGGGACTATTCTTTGTGACGTCTCACAAATTTCTCCCCGACCCGTAGTTCCTACGACAATGCGCCGACTAGTTTTTGACGCTTTACACAACCTGTCTCATCCCGGCATACATGCTTCGCAGAAGCTCCTAACCGAACGCTTCGTATGGCCCAATGTCAACCGCAATGTCCGCCTTTGGGCATGCGCATGCTTAGTGTATCCGCGCGCCAAGGTGTACAGACACACCAAAAGCCCACTCGGGGTCTTCTCCGCTCCTGACTCTCGTTTTGCACACGTTTATGTCGACCTGGTCGGACCTTTGCCATCATGCAAAAGCTACGTGCACTCATTTACCTGTGTCGACCGATTCACCCGTTGACCAGAAGCGATTCCGATAGTCAACTGCTCATCTATGACAGTTGCGCAAGCTTTCTTAGAACGCTGGGTAGCTCAATTCGGTTGCCCAAGCGTAGTCATCACTGACAGGATCACACTTTGACGGATCCTTCAGCAAACTGCTCAGCGTTTTTGGTTGCCAACATAACCGAACCACCGCATACCATCCCGCAGCTAATGGGATGGCAAAGGTTCCACCGACAACTCAAAGCATCACTCGGTGCCCAGTATAGCACATCCTGGCACGAAGCACTTCCGCTCGTTCTCTTAGGCATAAGAAAGACAATTAGAGCGGATTTGCACGCCACTCCTTCTTCGCTAGTCTTTGACTGCACACAAGGCTTGCCTGATCAACTTGTCACCAAAAGCACCAATAACCTTCGACTATGGCGACTACGCAGCTCGCCTATCTCATCACATGCGACAACTTCAGCCTGTACAACCAAGCACAGGGCTTGCGTGTAATCGTGGCTTAACGCATTGCTACTTGCACTCATGTGTTCGTTCGCACTGACAGCATACGCCTGCCACTTCATCCTCCTTATTCTGGCCCGTGCCGTGTCGTACGCAGTGGCGACAAGACGTTTACCATTGACTACAATGGTAAGACTGAGACGATCGACATCGATCGATTAGAGCCAGCATTCTTCGAAAAGTCTGACTCTTCGGTGCAACAGGCGCCATCATAGCCGGTCACTCCGCTCCATCGACCGACAGCCTCAACCGACTTCACCCCTTCACGACCCACTGTCAACCGAAGTGGTAGGGAAGTGAAACCCCCAGTACGCCTTTCTAATTTCGTTAGCGTTTGCTACTTTCCATAGAGCATCCCTTGCATATTTTACGCTCACCCAAACGTTTTCCAAAACCAAAACGTTTTGAAACTACCCAAAAAGAGCAAAAACTTTTGAAAACCCTTTTTTCGCTTTTCACTCTTTTGTGTATTTATGCATTTACGCTGCTCTTTTTCATTTTGCTTTCCATGTACACCGTCGGTTGGTTACACTTTGGTTTCACTTTTCGCTGGATCCTCGTACGTCAACTGGAAGTGGAACGAACTTCCTACTCAACCACCTACGTGAACTTTACTAACTGTCCCCCCACAAACAGTTTTTTACCGTTTCGACATCGTAGCGAGGACACAGGTGGGAGCCCGCTAGGGTCCGATTGCATGGTTCTCCCCCAGCAGTTGCATCAGGTTTCACATCTTGATCTATCAGAAGGCTGGCCCGCGACGGACAGTCCTCATGTAGATCGAAGGACTGCTTACACAGTCCCTTTTGGAGGAGGGCTATGTAGCAGCCTGAAGATTCCCCGGTTCGCCTGTGTAAAATTCAAAAATTATTTCATTGTACACCTAGGCAACCGGTGTGGTTTGTTGAACTGATTGTTGAGTTCGCATGCTTGACTTGATCATCGCCATTTTTGCTTGGCACTCGTTTCGGTTGCAAGGCGCAACTGCCTTGTGTGCTGTACATTTTCCGTTCCCCTAGCTAGAGCCTCAACGGTGTCCTTTTTATAGCTAGGCGACGAGGAATCTTTTACTGTACTAGTAAAAGTTTTCCTGCAACCCGATCTGTCTTCTGAATCGCTCTCCAGGTTCCCGCTAAAGGCTACTCGCTAAACATCGATAGGCTATTAAAAGAAGGCGTAATCGAGTCTTCGCAATCATCTTGGCGTGCTCAAGTTCTTGTCAACACAAGCGAACGCCTAGAGGAACGAACGGTTGCCGATTATAGCCAAACCAAAAGCTGTTTGACGGAACTGGATGCCTATCCTCTAGCGCGTATAGATGATGTAACCGAGAAGATATCTCCTTTTAGGGTATTCAATACTCTATCTTAAGAGGGCCTGTTATCAAAGCTCTATGTAGGAAGGCGATAAGAATTGTAGAGCATTTGAAGCGTGCAATAATTTATATCAGTTTCGCCGTATACCTTTTTGGCTAACCGATGGCGTTGCGTGCTTTCAAAGAAGTGATACGCCACGCAGATCTCAATGGGACGTTTGTCTATGTCAATAATGTTACTGTGTGTGGCAGATCCTATTGAATAGTACAAAACCTCTTACTACACATCTGCGAAAAGCATGGAATGACCCTAAACAGTAAAAAATACATATTTGCAACCAAGGAGATTCGGCTGCTTTGTTAAGAGATTTCGTTGAGCGCAGTGAAAATGGACCCTGATCGCTTTAAGCCAATAATAATGCTACCTCCGCCAGTGGATCCCAAATCACAACAAAAAATAGTTGGGGATGCTCGCTACTACTTTTATTGGTTCGCGCACTTTTCGGCTAAGGCCCATCCACTCGTTCATAATAAGACTTTTACGCTGCCATCTAATGTTTTGGACGCGTATGAGACATTAAAGGCTGAACTAGTGGAAGCAGCCGTGATCCCTGTTGACAGAAACGTACCATTAGTCATTGAGACTGACGCATCTGATGTCGCTATTCCTGCAACACTCATACAGAACGGTTGCTCGGTTGCACTTTTCTCACGAACACTGGCCGGTAGTGAGCGCAACCATTCTGCCGTGGAGAAAAAGGCCTGTGCTATTGTGGAACCTATCAGAAAATGGCGGCACTATCTACTAGGAGTCCATTTGAAACTGGTAACTAACCAGCTCCCAGTTAATTTCATGTATGATAAGCAGCTGGAAGGAAAGATTAAAAACGATAAAATCCAGAGTTGGCGTATCGCGCTCCCAATTGTTTTACGATGTGGAGTATCGACCTGGTACCCAGAATTCCGCAGCCGATCCACTATCAAGGACATATTAAGCAGCCACTCATTCACTCGATGATCTGAAGTGTATCCATGTAATTACACCATCCTGACGTTGCTCAAAATTCTTTCACTTCATGCGAGCGAAGCATTTTTCATCTTCCTTGGGAAATGTGAAATCAGTAATCCAGCAGTGCCCTATATGCCCTCAGCTGAAGCCGATGTTCTATACACTAGCCAATAATCAGTTAATCAAAGCAAATCAATCTTTCGAGCGGTTAAGCATTGACTCCAACGGACCAGTAACTCGCATAACCGCTACATACAGTTATTGATGAGTATTCCCGGTTCCCGTTTACATAGGCTTGCCCTGACATGACGGCCTCCACTATCATATGCAAGCTTACTGCATTGTTTTCTATATTTGGAATGATATCGTATGTACGTTCCGACAGGTTTTCTTCGTTCATGTCAGAGAAGCTGAAAAACATTTCTGCATGAACGTGGCGTAGCGACCAAGAGAACCACTAGCTACAGTACCCAATGCATCGAGCGAATGGAGCGATTCAATGGTACATTATGGTTGGCTATCTCGCTTTGTCTACGGTCACGAAATCTGGTAGTTGAACAGTGGGATTGTGTGCTACTAGAGGCGCTATATTTTATTCGTTCATTGTTATGCACTGCCATTAATGCTACAACCCACTAACGTATGTTCCTGTAGAGCAGGTCACCAGTTGGAATTACTTTGCCACAATGATTGCTATCGCCTGGATCTGTTGCGACGGGATTGTGTGGGCACAAGCGCGCTACTGATTTACATGGCGAAGCTGATGGCTGGCTTGCCGCAAGCGAACAGAGCAGTTGATTGGACGCCTACGCATATTTCGCCTACTAGCTACGCTGGCTACACTGGAACGGGTCTGTGTAGCTGACTCAGACGAAGAATCTCATGGGTGCAGAAGCGTCGTTAGTAGTGGAAATGACCCAGTTATTTATATCGAGGTTTCTACACGCTTGTTATGCAGTCATTTTCACTGAGCTTGCTTTGTGGAATAAACCGTTTGTCCCTGAAGGACCGAGTTTTTCGACATGTTATCAGGAAAGACCAAAACACGATCGCCGGACAGTGCTCAGTTGCTGATTGGAGCCATGCAGACGCTTGCCCCTTTGAACATGGCAGAACAGTAATTGGAGAATCTGGAAAAGCAAGTGGATCGCTTTTTGAGTACTGGTGCGTCTGAATGAACAACCGATGGCGTATCGCCTGGTGATATTTCGACATACGATCGGAGATGGAGCACGCTGCGTATTGGAAACGATGCAGTACAAAAAGCACGTAGACTCAGCTGATCTGGAAACAGTCATCAGCAAATTCGGCGATTTCTGTTTGGGCCAGACTAACGAGTCGTAGCAGCGGTATCTCATTTTTACTCCAATCATGCGCCAGAACGAAACTATCGTGAACAATCTTACATAGCTGAAGATCCTGGCTCGTACCTGTAACTTTGCAGTTGTATGGCTGACAGTCTCATTCGAGATAGGATCGTGCTTGGGATCAATGATGAAAACATCACCAAGCGGCTGTTGCGGCAACGACACTTATCGCGCAGACAATGCTTTGATATATGCCTTAGTGAATCCTCAGCTGCACGCCGCATCCAGCAAATACGGTTGCCGTCTGATGCAGTGCTATGTCTCTTGGACCGTTTACCTGACCAAATTGCGAGGCCTGTTACTAAGACACAAGAAACTTGCAAATTCTGCGCCGCGACACCCGAAGGATCGTGATCAATGTCCGGCGTGGGGTCGAATTTACGCCAACCGTGGCAGACGACGTCATTTCGCTCGATGCTGTCAGTCTCCCAAAGTGAATGCACTCAATTGTGACACAAAACCCTCGGACTCTGGACATTCAATGTGAAACGTTCGTTGATGGAATCAAAGAAGTGCGTTTATTGGTTGGGGACGAAATGTTGCGCTTCCAGTTAGACACGGGTGCTACCATCAACATATATCTGCAAAGCGGTCCCCAGGAATTAATGTGCGACTAAATCAAGGTTTCTTGCGAAGGTGAGACGGCTCCAAGCTCCAGCCGAAGGGCTTGGCAACGATCAATCAATCCCAAAGACGGATCCCTACATCATTTGGAATTCGTGATCGTGGAGGAAGATCTCACGCCAGTTCTCAGCATTGATTCCATCTGGTTTCTTCGCTTTGTTCATTTTAACCATGATCGTTTTTGCATACGTGTCGAGCAGAAAAAGATGTTAGTGAGCAGTATCCGTCCGTGTTTAGCCCAGGTTTGGGAAAGTTTTAAGGTTCTGTTCATATGTCAATAGATCCGTCAATACGACCGACTGCGCTGCCGGATAGAAGGGTTCCGTTTGCTTTACATGATAAGTTCGCCGCCGTGTTAAGGCATTTAACGCAATTGGACGTAAGTGCTAAGGTCGACAAGCCGACCGACTGGGTTAGCCGTTGCGATTGTTACGAAAACAACGGTGATTTACGTCTGTGCATCGATTATAAACAACTAAATGTAGCTCTTCGCAGGAAGCACTATGCGCTGCCAACGTTAGAAGATGTTATGCCGCGTTTGGCCTTTATCTCTCTCTCTCTCTCTCATCGGCGTTCTGGCACGTGGAATCCAGTTTCTTGACGATGTTCGCCAAACCCTTCGGGTTTTCGATGGCTACGTTTACCGTTTGATTTGCAGGTCTCGAGCGAAAATTTTCAGAAGCGGTTATTGCAAGCTGTTGACGATCTAGACGGTGTAACCTGTGTAACAGACGATGTGCAGATTTACGGCTCGACCGAACAGAAACATGACGCCAATCTACACCAATTCTTGTAGCGTTGCGTGCAAAAGAACATAGAGCTCAAACGCGAGATAGTTGATCACTGGAATTCTGAAGTTATTTTTCACGGGAATGCTCCGACATCCGGGGGAATAACGATGGATCCCAAAAAAATCAAGGCAGTGCAGGAGATGCCACTACCTGAGGACGTCAAGACTGTTAGTCGCTTCAATGGCATGGTGACTTACTTGAGCCGTTTCCTACCAAGACTAGCTGAAATCATGACGCCCATCCGGAGGCTGACACACAAAGGTGTAAAGTGGAGTTGGGGAACAGAGCAGGAGGCCGTCTTCATAACCATCAAGCATCTTATTAGCTGTGAACCACTACTCGGTTACTACGATCCAGCTCTGCCTTTGGAGGTGCAATGTGACAGCAATCAGAACGGCATAGGCGCCCTTGTACTGTAAGATGGTAAGCCCTTGGCTTTCGCAGTTGAGCGCTCACAGTGGTGGAACAACGCTATGCCCATATCGAAAAGGTGATGCTTGATGTTTTCTAGGCGATGGAGCGATTCAGCGATTACACCTTACCGAATAAGACTACCGTGTATACTGGCCATAATCCTATCGTATCAATAGCCAGAAAACGATTAAATAGTGTCCCTCGACGTCCTCAACAATGCTTAAACGGCTCCAAAAATACGACATAAATCTTTTTTACATCCCAGGGACGCAGATTTTCATCGTGGATACTTTGTGGAGAGTTCCTCTTCTGATAGTCGAACACCAACAAGAAGAAATCAAGACCGTATATCTGGTACAACATCTGACGGTCACGGAAGATCGCCTGAAAGAGATAAGGTGTCATACGGAGGCAGACGCGACGTGCGCGGCGTTTTGATACGTGATTTTAAGTGAATGACCGGACACAAGTGACAAACTTTCAAAGGAATTAACGTCATTTTTCAACTTTTGGGATAAACTAACGATGTATGACGGTTTACTGTTTAAAATGATACTTAAACACGCTCATCGATCCCATTTGGGTGTTAACTACAGCATTAGCAGAGCACGCGAGCTGATGCTCTGGTCCGGGATGACGAGTCAAATCCGAGATCTAGTATCAAGCTGTTCATCCTGCCGGTCACAGGACGCTCGCCAAGCCAGAGAACGAATGATGCAGCGTGAGATTCCAGATCGACCGTGGCTGAAAGTAGCGGTGGACTTTTTCTGTGACAGCGGGAAAGACTGCTTAATCACAGTGGACTACTACAGTAACTATTCCGAGATCAATTCTCTCACCACTCCCCACCACGGAGCAGTCATCAATAAACTTAGATATCAGTTCGCCAGACACGACATGCCGGAGGAACTGATCTCCGACAATGGCGCGCAATTTACAAGTTCTACGTTCCAGACTTTCGAGAACAAATGATTTTCGCATCGATAAACCATTCTAAGCCATTCTAAGGAAAAAGTGGACGCAGCGGTCAGACAAGCCAAGAAGCTGTTGTCAAAGGCTAGTACCGCTCATGAAGATCCAAATCTGATGCTGTTGGAAATTCGCAACACGCCATCACCGAACATCAGTTTCAGTCCAGTCCAAGGACTGTACTGCAGAAGAACAAGAACCCTAATGCCTGCTTCGGCGGCGCTTTTACACCCTGCCTTGCCGTCTCATGAGCAACTGAGAAGGGATTTAAGAAAACGGATGACTGATCAAAAACGGCATTGCGACCGCGAGGCCCAGCCGCTACCCGACCTATCAATAAATGATGAAGTGTGGATCCAACCTATACCGGGTGTCAGCGAACGATGGAACAAAGGTGTAGTGACCGCGAAACTTGGGGAAAGATCTTATGAAGTCAGTACTGAAGGAAAGATAATCAGAAGTAACCGGGTGCAGCTGAGACGACACCTGGAACGAAAAGGTGAACCTACAGCAAAACCCTTGACACCTTACGGAGAGGTCACAAGGACAGGGGCAGCCATGACTACGCGGAGTGGAAGAGTTTACGAAGTCTTCAGCGACTCCGATGCGGCTGATCCAGGAAATGGGAAGGATGTGACGGGATTGTGTAAACACAAGAACTATATCGATTTACATGGCGAAGCAGATGGCTAGCTTGCCGCAAGCGAACAGAGCAGTTTCTTGGACGTCTACACATATTTCCCCCACGCGCTGATTGGTTCTTATTTGGCTACGCTGGAACGGGTCTGTGTAACTGACACAGAGGAAGAATCTCAGGAATGCAGACGCGTTGTTTGTTTTGAAAATGACTCAGTTATTTACATCGAGTTTCTACATGCTTGTTATGCAATCATTTTCGTTGAGCTTGCTTTATAGCATAAACCGCTTATTTCTGCGCGTTCCTCCCAATATGACACGAATTACCAGTAAAGCTGTGGGAGCAGGAAATTGTCCCAACTGATTGTAGCTACTCCGCTATTGTCCCGGTCTTCAAAGGAGGCTCGCGTTCAGATTGCAGCAGCCATAGAGGAATCAGTCTTGTCCCCGTCGCCTCCAAATTACCTGCCTCTGTTATCCTTCACAGACTGACTGGTACTCGGGAAAGCCAGATTCGTGAGGTGCAAGCCGGGTTTCAATGAGCTCGGGGGCCGCATCGACCCCATCTTCACTTTGCGTCAGCTGTTGGAGCGCCATCACATTTATTGGCGGCCCACCGTTGTCATGTTTCTCGACATAAAAGGTGATTTCGATTCTGTTGATCAATGTGCCATTTAGGCTTTCTACTCAAAAAACGTGTGCCCGAGGAATATATAACTCTTCCCTTCACCATACCCCCCTAGCTCGGGCAGTGAGGGTTTACCCCAAGCTGTCTCCGCCACTTCAATGTCTCCAGCGGTGTGAGTCAAGGATTCTCGCTGTCACCTTTCTCCTTCAACTTCGATATTGATGAAGTCATGGAGATCGCGTTCACAGCACATGATTTAGGAGTTGTGGAGCTGCTCCCAGGAGAACAACTTCTTGACTTGGAGTGTGCTGACGATATTGCCTTCATCTGTGACAGCTCCGAGACGGACATATTAGCACTGGCTGACAGCCTCTTTGGGCTTTGCTTTGCACCATCGAAGTGCAAAGCTTTCCTCCAAGATTGGCATGGACCGCCTCCTGCGCTGACCCTTGGTGGGGATCAGCTAGAAGTCGTTCAAAAATTCAACTACCTGGGAAGTTGTATCAGCGCCATTGGGATCGAAGATGAGATCACGAACCGTATAGCAAAAGCTCGAGGCGCTTTTGCTAACTTCGCCACCTATGGCGCCGGCGCGACATCACTCTCGCCCTGAAGGGTAGAGTGTACAATGCAGCGGTACGTTCGACCCTACTGTACGGTTGTGAAATCTGGCCCCTTAGATCAGCGGACATAAAGAGGCTAGTTACGTTCGACCACCGGTGCCTTCGCATTTGCGTGAGCATCGAGCATGTTTACGGCACAGGAAAAGGAAATGAACCGCTCAGCACCGTTATTTCACGCACCAGGCTCCGATGGCTCGGCCACGTGTTACGCATGCCAGCCCACCGACTCCCGCGACGTGCGTTGTTTGCGCGCCGGAGGTGTGGATGGAAAAAGAGGAGAGGTGGCCAAGCGATGACCTGGTCGAGAGGAATGAAGGACCTTACTTCGGAGCTGCCCTCGGTTGGAGCGTCACGGTTCCCTATTTGGGGTTCGAAAGACGATGTACACGTTTGGCTAGATACACTTGGTGACATGGCTAGAAGCCGAGCTCAATGGCGCTCGCGCAGTGGGTTTCTTTGTCCCTCCCCATCCCTCTTAGCTTCCCCCTCCAATCACGTACGATCTCATTTCTTATCATAATATAGTTTTGTATAATAATTTTTTGTTATTGCATAGTAGCCGGTAGGTAGCTTTCCGGAACAATTCCTATCCGCTACTGGTTGCTCAGCTGACATGCATCTGTTGCATTTTGTATTCCTTTTTTTCTTTTATGTCTTGCGGCACAGGAGCTGAGGTGTTTTTCACCTCTACCTAACGTGCATAATGAATGAATCAATGACCCTCTTGTCGTGGAGATTACCATTATTACCCGGAATACGCTCATATTCGACTGTCGGAGGGTCGCGCGGAGACAGTCTGTTTACGTAAGCGATCGCTCCTAGGTAATAATATACA